GAAGCCACCCCCACCTCCCACCAGGACACCGGCTGGGCCACCGCCGCCACCTCCACCGGTGCGGAACGGGCACCGGGACTCCATCTCCACCGTCAGAGCATTCCTGGGTGAGTGAGACCCCAGGGCTGGAGCTGGGGGAGGCCCCGTGTGGAGCCCCGCCCTTGGGCTTCCGCTGTGCTCCAGAGCCACCTTCCCTGACCTGCCTGTTTTCCCTCTTCTCTGCAGATGACTTTGAATCCAAATACTCCTTTCATCCTGTTGAAGACTTCCCAGCCCCAGAGGAATATAAATACTTCCAGAGAATCTACCCCAGCAAAACAAACAGAGGTGAGGGAGGAGGGGGAGTCCTGCTTGGCCTGGCTCCCCTCCCACACTATCAGTGCTGGCAGGAGGTGACAACAATGACACTGTGGCCAGTCACTGTCCTGTTTGTCCTGTGCGGTGGCGGGTGTGGCACGGTTATAAATGTAGACCACAGCCCCAAGGTTGAAGCGAGTGGTGGCTAGGGGCTGGGGGGGTGAAGAGCCCCTGTGCCGGCCAGGATGGGCCCCGAGCGTGGGCACTCAGACCCAGCAAAGTGCCCTTGCTGCACCGCTGCCGTGCCAGCCCTGCGGATCCCAGAGGAGACTCCGGGGAGAATGGGATGCTCGTTTATTTTTAGAGCCATGAATGTTTAATGTGGATTTGAAAAGCCCTGAGCTTTCCGTGCGTGCCGCAGCGGCTGGTTCGAGTCGCAAATCCCCAGCTCCAGATCTCTGCGGGGAGCACGGGGGGGCAGCTGGTGCGGAGGAGGGAAGGCAGACGTGCTGGATCCCACTCTGCAGAGCACCAGGGTAGCCAGCCCCTGAGCTGGTGTGTGCCAGCAGTGCAGGGCACGCCGTGCTGGACAGTTTGTGATTTCAAGGGGTTTTCTTGTCTTGCAGCTACGCGTGGGGCCCCCCCTCTGCCCCCCATCCCCAGGTGAAAACGGGCTGCCCGAGCAATGGTTCCTGAGCAGAGACCGACCTCCTTCCCCTTCCTCCGATGGACCCTCCCCACTTCCCTGCCCCCAGGATCCTGCATGAGAATCTCCCAGCGTCTTTGGTTTTCCCCACTGTGCCAGGACAGGCAGACACCCCCACCCTGCTCCCTCCATCAGCCCACCCTCATCTATGCATCTCCCCCGGGACTCGCTGACCTTGCAGGCAAGCCCGGATGGGTCCTTTCCTCCTTGCTCGTCGCAGATCCCGGCTGGTGCCGGCACCACGTGTCTGGCTGCGGCCTGGGAGCTGGGCATGGGGACTCGGGATGGCCACCGAGCCGTGTGTGGCCAGAAGTTGGGACCAGAGGTGTCTCAGTGCCCAGTTCCTCAGGGCTGGGGCAGAGCGAGGGACTGGAGAGGAGCTGGGCAGGGGATGGACGTGCTGCAGGGTGACCGGCCGTGCTGGTGCTGAGCAGGGGGAGCCGGGAGGGCCAGCAGGGCCTCATTAGCCCCACGCAGCTGATTGCTTTTTTGCACAGGAGCCAGTGGAGAAGCAGGGGAGCGAGTGGGACCATCCGGGAGACCCTGAGGGTGCTGGGCAGGGGCTGGGGGCTGCGGGGGAACCCCCAAAACCCTCACAGCCACCAGCTTTTCACAGCGCTGGGCCCGGAAGCCTTGGCTTTTAACACTAAATCACCGAACTAGAGCATTTTAACGGGAAGGCACTAATTGTCCGCGGAGGAAGCCGGGGGTGCTGTGACTGGGGTGGGGGTGGGACCTGGGAACACGGCCCTGCCCCGGGGGGCCCAGCTGATGTTTTGCCTTATACACTACCCTGCCCGGCAGCCCCGGGCTGGTTTCTCTGTATTTACTCACCGCACCAGGGGCTGGACATTAACTGTAGTTACTGATCGATTTTGTACGTTGTAAAACGCTTGTAACTGTGGGAGGAAGGTGGGTGCTGCGGGGGGGCTCAGCTCCCCCCTCCAACGGTTCTGGGTTTTGTTTGGGTTTTGTTTTTGGTGTTGTTTTTTTTTTAATTACGAAGAGGGAAACTCTCCCTGTTGCGGTTAGAGGCAGCGTGAGGGACATTTTGGGGGGTTTCTCTGCAGGATGAGCCCCCTGGCGCTGCCGTTTGGTTTCAATAAAGGTTAAAATAAAGGTTCTTCCCAAGCGCTGGCTGCCCCCCCTCCCAGGGAGCGAGGGGCTGTTTTAAGAGGGAACAGAATCAAACCAAGGAGCTTGAAATCACATTTAAATAAAAGTAATAAAGTTATGTGTCTCCAAGGGTGCTGTCTGGGGAAGGGGGAATACAGGGGGCTTCTGTGCCTCTTTGGGGATTCCTCCCTTCTTCTGGGGAGGGTAAGAGCTCCAGGGGCTGGGAACCAGGACTCTGCCCGCAGTGAGGCTGGTACTGGGAGGTGGGATGGGGATGCTGGGAGCACTGGGAAGGTGGGATGTTGGTACTGGGGGGGTGGGGCGGCAGCAGGGTCCTGAAGACTACAACTCCCAGGATGCTTCGCGCCCGCGCCCACCACCTTCCGGCGGGGCGCGCGCGCCGTCGCCAATTGGCTGTTCGGCGGACGCC